AGGTCGCGCTCGCTCTCTCTCTCTCTCTCTCTCTCGCTCTCTCTCTCTCTCCCTCCCTCCCTCCCTCCCTTCTGCCTGCAGATACAAATGTAGAACTCTCTGTTCCTTCTCTAGTACCATGTCTGCCTGCATGCCACCATGTTTCCTGCCTTGATGGTAATAGACTAAACCTCTGAACCCGTGAGCCAGACCAAATTAAATATTTTTCTTTATAAGAGTTGCTGTGATCATGGTGTCTCTTTACAGCAACAGATCTTTAACTAAGATAGTAGTTCGTTGTTGAATGAAGGAAGTCAGGGCAGGACCTCAAACAGGGCGGAATCTGGAGGCAGGAGCTGATGCAGAGGCCATGGAGGGTGCTGCTTATTGGTTTGCTTCCCATGGCTTGCTCAGTCTGCTTTCTTAGAGAACCCAGGACCAGCAGCCCGGGGATGGCACCACCATTATGGGCTGGACCCTCCTCTATCAATTACCAATTAAGAAAATGCCCTACAACATTTTCTCCGTGGAGTTTCTCCTCCTAACTTGTGTCAAGCTGACATAAAACTGGCCAGCACAACCTTCAAACTATAAATCAACATAAACCCTTCCCCGTTTCTTGTTATGCGTTTAGTCATGGAGACCCAAAAGCAGAGAACTACTGTTGGGGGTGGAGGTCATGGCTGTGACCGCCTGACCATTTATCTCTTAGGCCTGATGAGCCAGTTTGCAGAGGAATTTGGAAGAGTTTGGATCTAGAGACCAGAGGAACCCTTAAATGCTATTAGCAGAACTTAGTGGACTATTCCAGGAGATGTTCAGAAGGCCAGAATGTCCAAAACACCCAGACAGTGGAGGCCACACCCAGCAGGTCCATGGGGACAAGAGCTTCCTTGAGGGCCAGGGATAGCAACCATTCACATTACACTCTGGCAAAGAGTGTGGCCAAACTTGAGTGAGGCTGAACTAAAATGGGGTGAGGAGAAGAGGCTGCCTCAGGATATTATGGCATTCAGGCCAGGGTGTGGCTATTGCTCAAGCTTCTTCAACTCAGTGACATAGAGCAGAAAGATGAATGTGTGAGAGACAAGCAGTTCATCAAGGACTGGGCAGGAATGTGAGTAAAGCTGTGGATAAAGTCCCTCAGGGGATGTTGAAAAGTCAGGGCCTTATAACTGTGATTAATGAAGAAACTCCGGACTCAGAGCTGGGACAGCAGAGAGGACCTACTTACCAGAAGCCTAGGGTGTTGCAATGCAAGGGTCATGGCTGAGTAAAGAACATCACCCCACTCCCACCCCCAGGCATTCAAGAAGAGTGCTTTCTCATTCCCAGCCACAGAAGGCAGCTGTGGTCCACAGGGATGGGGGGGGGGGATGAGGGAGGATGGGGATGAGGAGGTGGATGGGGAAGGAGCCAGGGCAGCAGGCCACATCTCAGATGAACAGAATGAACGGACATCCACTCGGGGCTGGTTTTGCAAGTGTGAGGATGCATGGAGGTGTGCACCTAGGTTCCAGAAAGCTGCTGAACCCTGGCTGTGTGTAACAGGATCACAGTCCCTGTGGGGAACTTGTGAGAAGGTAAAGGTTAAGATTCAATGGGAAACCCAGGATATTGGGAGATCCCAGAGACAGGAAATATCTGACAAAGCTACAGGTAGCCAGTAGATCAGGTCCAAGAGTGTGGTCACAGATGCCACAGGCAACAGAGTTGAGGGTGTGGGTGGCTGAGTCTGTTGGAAGCCAAATGATGCCACCAAGAGCCTTGATTTTAGACCTGGGGGCTGTGGGACCAAGGGTCTGCTCTTTGTTTGGTCTTTCCTGTGTCTAGTATCTCTGTCAATTCTAGAGTTTACATATCACCCTTCAGGGGGGTTTGATGGAGTTGAAGACAGACAGTTATGGTTATTGTTTTTCTTAGTAATGATAAAAGATAAGTTACACATAAAAATTTAGACTCACAAAGATAGGATAGATGATAGGATATTTTCTATAAATTTTGCCAAATGTTAATAGACTAAATATTGTTGACTGTAGTTCTTGCTTGATAGCTGTTTTGTTATATATAATTTTACTATGTTAAAGTTAAAACCTTTTGTTTTATTTAGACAGAAAAGAAGAGATGATGGGGCAAGTTCTTCTGTATATATGTTTCTCTTATTGGTTGATGAATAAAACACTGTTTGGCTAATAGAGGCAGGGAGATAGGTGGGACTGGGAGACGAGGAGAATGCTAGGGAGAGAGGCAGAGAAGCCGAGAAGAGACATCTTGCTTCCAAAGGAGTAACATGCCGGATTATAGATAAGCCACAGCCTCGTGGCCATCAGCCAACAGTTTTATAATTAATATAGCATCTGTGTAAACACAGACTAAAGAGGCTGTGGGACCAGGCAGGACAAAAAACTCTAGTGACAGTCTAGGCATCATCTCACCCCACCCCCTTTTGGAATGGGAATATTTACTCTACGCATGCATGCTGGAAGTGAGGAACATATTTGTAAAGTTGCAGACACTTACAGTTAAGAGTTTGCCTTCAGTCCCAGAAGATACTTTAGACTTTTGGTGATTTTTTGAGACAGGGTCCTGGAACTCTCTGTGTACCTCAGGCTGACCTTGAACTCACAGAGATCTACCCGCCTCTCCCTCCCAAATGCTGGGGTTGAAGGTGTGCGCTGCCCAGACCCGGCTAAGACTTTGAACTTTTGGAAACAGTGTGGGCACAAGAAGGCCTCTGAAATGAGACTAGACACAGCTGCACCATGAGGTGGCTGTGAGCCTGAGGGGTCACAGGAAGAAAGTTGGGCTTTGGTGTAAAATGTACCCCAGAGGATCATGTCTTTGAACTCTTGGTTGCAGCTGGCAGTGCTGGTTGGAGTCTGTGTGGTTCCTTTAGGACATGGGGCACAGCCAGAGGAAGTGTGCCATTAGAGCATGGGCCATGAGGTTCACGGTCAGAACCCACTTCCTGTATCTCCACTTCCTGATCCATCCAGATGTAAGCAAGCAACTTCATGCTCCTGCAGCCACACACAGCTCAGGCCGCCATGCTGTCCCCACCAGGAGAGACCGCACCCTCAAAAAGTGTGATGAAGTAAACCCTTCCTCCCTTCTGCTGGCTCTGTCGGGCATTTAGTGACAGCAACGGGAAGAACAATCAATACAGTGGCATATTTTAAAGACAACATTAAAAGTGTAGTGTGAGCAACCCTGAACCACAGGAGGAGTGGGGAGATAGTCACTGTCACTCAAGAATATCGGTTGTATGACAGATTCCTTCCGCTGCTATCCAGGACTGCAGGAATGGTCCAGGGACTGACAGCAGCCAAGACTCCAGCCATCACCCTCTCCCAGGACAAGGGGCAACTCTGTATATGGAGAATCCAACTCAGAAGATGCCAAAACTTTACCCTCAGTACTGCCTCTCTCTAAAGTATGCATGAGTATGTAAATATGCACATACACATTGCATACATACCTCCCATGGGCCCATTCATGCACACACATACTCTGCACACAGTCCCATGCATGCACACATACCCCACATATAGCCCCATGCATGCATACATACCTACACACCCCCATTCATGCATATACATATTCCTCACACACCCCATGCATGTACACACACATTCCTCACACAGCCCCACGCTCACAGACACATACTCTTCACACAGTCCCATGCATGCACACATACCCCACATATAGCCCATGCATGCACACATACCCACACACCCCCATTCATGCACACACACATTCCTCACCCAGCTCCAGGCACACACACACACACACACACTCTGCACACATTCCCATGCAAGCACACATCCCCTGCAAACAGCCCCATGCATGCACACACAACCCACATGTAGCCCCATGCATGCACATACATATTCCTCATACAGCCCCCAGGCATGTACATATACCCCCACAGCCCCAGATATGCACACACATACTCCCCACACAGTCCCATGCAGGCACACATCCCTTGCACACAGCCCAAGATATGCACATAAATGCCACATGTGTACCGAACACCCACAGCCCTATTCACATGCACACATACCATGTGTGTACCCCCACACAGCCCCAGGCATGCATACACAGAAATCCTGCTATCAACCTCTTCCTTAAACAAAAGCAAAAGACCACTGCCCCCCCCAACCTGGGTACCAGATCAGTGTTTTGAAATAATTTCCATACAACACCAATTTTTAAAGTGATTGAAAGGGAAGAGCCTACTTACAATAAAATTTTAAAAAAGAACCTGAAATGCCTTGAAATTAAAATCTTCCAAAATGTGCACAAGACATTTATGGGGTAAATTATGAATCACAAGGAGACAGATGAATGCACCATGGTTATGAGCAGAAAGATTGAACATTAAGAACATTCAAAGATCTGCCAGATTTCATTATAAAGCCGGTCTGAGCCCATCAGGACCCCGAGGGGACTTTCACAAGATGCAGAAACAAGAAAC